TTAATCACACATCAACAATAAACAGAATAATAAAGTGATTAGTATGTTAATTTTGATAACAAAATATAGATATTGATATTTTCTAATACATATATTGTCACATATATGTTATAATGATCTTACATTGCTGTTATAAATGTGTTGTTTATTTTTCGATCATCGATAAATATATTGCAATTAATTAAATCAGGAGTCTATGGTTAAATTATCGATGAGTCAATTCAGTATGTCGTTGGTTTGCTCATATGTTTCTAGCCGGAAGTTTTAAAAGAGCGATGCGGGCCTTTCTAATAACTTGGAGGGGAAGTCCTACAAACAATTCTGCTCCCGCCTATTCGATACCATTGCTTCGGAAAATGGTGTTTCTAATTACGGGTATTCTAAATTTGGAATGTAACTCTAGACGTGTGTAGGGAGGCATATCCAATAATACACTATATTTTTCATGGTTAAATATATAAAAATTTAGAATAGGAAATATAGAGAATACAATCTTTAAAAATATAACATAATGTTATTTAAAAAAGTGGTGAAAAATTTATATTTTCGGGGTATTAAATTTATACGTAATACAATATTTATTATTATACGGATATGCCTTTATCAAGATATATATTTTGTGAAACCTTGATGTTACTACCATGAAATAATATATTCACAGTTCTATAGGCAACTGCAGGATCAATAAATGTGTCATGGTCATGAATGCTGGACAAACATTAGTGTTTGTCGATCCATATTAACTCATTTTAGACTACATTTTACATGCAATTATACATACAATTATGCGCAACAGAAATAGTTTATCATTATGGTTTTGTATGCAATTATACAAGGTATTATTTGAAATTATATCTAATTAAAGTTAGAATATTTAATATAATAGGACTTAAAGCTACTAGTTTTTTTTTTATTAAAAAAGAATATGATGTGTTGTTAGATTTCAAAAGTTGCAAGTCGCGATATATCAAAAATCTGACATTAATCTATTTTCGTTTGGAAAGTATATGTCAATATACCACAAAGTTATCCGATTCTGGAATTTTGCGCTGTTTTGAGCTGCCCCTTATCTCTCCTGAGCATCCAAAGTCGTGACGACGGGTGACAGCGGGTAGACGTGCGCGCTACTGGATACATCGCTGTAGTATCATGGGCATCCATTTCGGTTATACTTCAAAACAGGGAGAAGTACCTGGCAGATTTCAACCGATCCTTTTTACCGGCTTTGACAGTGATAGTCACGAACTCGATATTTTTCTCGCAATGTAATAGTATCAAACATATTGTATATAATATATACACGTATATACATATACACACACATATTTATACGTCATCCATATTCATTCAGAATTAAAGTAAAGCGTTGCGCATCTGGTAGTTTCATTTCTCAGATCGACGGGGTTCCCAAGCAATAAAGTTCAAGATATATTCGCGCGCGAATTAACAACAATTTGCTGGAACGTAAAGTCGGAGCGCAAAATAAAAGTCTTGGATCTCTCTAAAGCGCGACATGATAACGCGGATATACGTGAGGACGACTTTGATATTTCTAATTAGATTTCTGTCAAGAGTAATATCTGAGGAAAGAGATAGTCCTCGAAGGATGGTGCGTTCTCAAGTTTAATCAAGCTTCATTTCGAGCGGCGGACTTTCCAGAGCTGTAATGACAATTGTTATTATGTGGAAAGGAATTATTTACGTCCTTGCTAATTAGACGTCAGTGAACGCGCTTACCAACGTGTAAAACATCGACGTTATTTATTTTTCCTCATATCTGCTTTACATTAACCGGTATAACCGGTAAAAACAGAAAAATATATTATCCTGACATTATATTAATCGCGGAAAGATAATATTGCGGTTAAATGCAAGTTTTGCAACAGCATTGCAATTTGTTTCGTGTGATACTTTGCACCTGCACAAAAGAGTTCTATTTTGCACTACACCGCAGCGTTAAATCTGCAAAGGCAGCAGAAAATGTAGTCAGCATGTAAATGCGCTCCGCGTATTACGAGTTTAATCCTTTTGCAACAGAAGAATCCTTTTCATAAATAAAATGGAAAGAAAATCTTTCTTTTTTGCAAAAAAAAAAAAAAAAACTTTTTTAATTACAAAAAGGAAGATTCTTTTCCAGTAACGATAAGATACAAGATATCAAGAACAGAATCGAGTAGATATGCGTGGAATATAAATTAACAAAATAAGCAAGAATGATATAAAGTCGAACCTTTATACGTAATTCAACATCGAAATGGCGGAGCGTTATCTTGGATTTTGCAGTAATTGATATTGACATTGAGTCTACAGTGACTGACACTGACTCGCTGTAACTGACATTGTCTCTTGCAATTTGCAATTGTATCGGAAAACTCATTTTGTCATCTTTATTTAAATTTAAAAGAATTTGGATAATTTTGCTCCCGTAAGAAATATGCTATCTTTTCAACCGTACTTTAATAGATAGGCCGAAATAAACATCTTATCTCAAATTTAAGTATTCCGCATTGATTATTCGCATATAAAACATCTTATTAGCTTCATTTACTAACTTATATAATTTACTACTTAATTTTTATATTAATTATTTTTGATAATCATCGCTAAACTTTATTTCTGTAGTAACCATTATTGCATTTATTATTTATTTTTAGTAGTTAGTTTTCATTAACTACGTTTTACAAATTTTTATCTTTTATAGATTCACTATTCTGTTTTTCCTTTTAAGAAAATATATCCAGGAGACTGAAAAAAATATATACGCCCCCTTTCACACGCGGGGCGTCCAGGTATAGCCCTAAAAAAAATTTTTTTTTTTTGAAAAAAAAAAAAAAAAAAACTTTTTTAATTACAAAAAGGAAGATTCTTTTCCAGTAACGATAAGATACAAGATATCAAGAACAGAATCGAGTAGATATGCGTGGAATATAAATTAACAAAATAAGCAAGAATGATATAAAGTCGAACCTTTATACGTAATTCAACATCGAAATGGCGGAGCGTTATCTTGGATTTTGCAGTAATTGATATTGACATTGAGTCTACAGTGACTGACACTGACTCGCTGTAACTGACATTGTCTCTTGCAATTTGCAATTGTATCGGAAAACTCATTTTGTCATCTTTATTTAAATTTAAAAGAATTTGGATAATTTTGCTCCCGTAAGAAATATGCTATCTTTTCAACCGTACTTTAATAGATAGGCCGAAATAAACATCTTATCTCAAATTTAAGTATTCCGCATTGATTATTCGCATATAAAACATCTTATTAGCTTCATTTACTAACTTATATAATTTACTACTTAATTTTTATATTAATTATTTTTGATAATCATCGCTAAACTTTATTTCTGTAGTAACCATTATTGCATTTATTATTTATTTTTAGTAGTTAGTTTTCATTAACTACGTTTTACAAATTTTTATCTTTTATAGATTCACTATTCTGTTTTTCCTTTTAAGAAAATATATCCAGGAGACTGAAAAAAATATATACGCCCCCTTTCACACGCGGGGCGTCCAGGTATAGCCCTTTGAAAAAGGAGAAATGTGGAAGCGCCTCTCTACAGAGAGTATCGTGATAGTTTCCTGTATGGTTGTGTGTGTGCCAGCCTACACACGTTTTCGGATACTTTTACGCGATGGAAGTCATCGGCCTGTGAAATCGGGGCCCGCGCGCGTCCATTCACACGTGAGAACGCGCTCTCGATAATAACGCGTTTTAATTTTGGAAAATCTCCGCGGTCGCTTTGTGAACCTAATGATGTGTGCGCGGAAGTGCGGCGGTAAGTATAAGCTTTCATGAACCGCGTTTCGCGTGTTATCTCTCACCGGGGCGGAACTCGACCGAACTCGCTTTGTTTGCGATCTAATGTATTGAATGCACGCTTTAGCTGTGGTCCGTTTACAACGCTATCGACCGTGGCTTTCAGCTTTCGAACCAAGCCCACATTTTAATTCACTTTATCGTGAAAAGAATTTTCAATCACTCGAGATTTTATGCATTTCTTATGTAAGTGTTCCTAGCTGAATTACTGTATTTTATATGTGTTTCATATTTGCCGTTCCGTTTTGATTATTTTATTGTTCCCGCAAATTATAATCATGACTATTTCATATTCAAATACGCGCGTCCGTCGATCGCAGCTGAAAATTGCGAATCATGTGCGACGAGAAAACGAAAGAGAGAAAGAGATAACCCTTCTGACGGGGAAAAAAGTTTTTTTTTTTCACTTTCATGCAAATCCGTGCCCTGTAATTGCCGGCAGGCGAGCTGTTCTCGCCCTCTCTTTCGTTCGAAACAGGATGGCTGCGACAGCGGATCTCTGCCGGCCTCGTGTTTGCCTCGTTTGTCTTCCGATTTGGCTGGCTGTGATCAATGGCGAAGGAGAATCTGTCGTTTTCACATGGCGACGAAATCTCTGTCAAGCCGTGAAAACACGGTGAGATTTCGAGCACTGTGATGGACCCATTATCGGCGCTCATCAACAATGTGCGCCTTTAAAAATTCATGGAAATGTAATTCGCGTAGAATCTTTTTTTACCTTTTAAGATGTTCATTTTGTCGATAACTAAATTTTTATATGCTCGAATAAGCATAACATCGGAGATATAACGCTAATATTTCCAATGTTTCTTTTGACATGAGAAAACGCGCAAATATTTTCAAATAAGATCGGATTTGTTCTCCTCCCTGACTGTCTCCTTGAAGCTTTCAACATATCTGGCATCCTCCGAGAATACAGCTTGGACGAGAATTTCTCGACTGAATCGTATTCGTCTTCTTCAAACGATAAATGCTGGGTATATTGGAGACTTTCAATGCCTCCCTTGTACGCGTATCTCTGGGGTTGGCGGAGGTTGGTTTCAAGTTTCAAACAGCCTCGTGTGAGTCGGGACGAATGTTTCCCTCATGGAAGATTAACGATTGGTGGGGGGGAATGTCTCCGCTTCTTTTTCCTTACGGCGTCTAAAAGTTCTCTTCTTTTGTGTTTCAGAATTTACGCTCGATCCTTCCGACGCTCGGCACATCGGTAAGTCGTGCAATTTTAACAACTTCTTTTCTTAGACGACATTACTCTGTCAACGATATTACGCCCTCGTAGCATTACAGAATTGGATGATCTAGCGTGACGCGAAGAATCGCTGAAGGCATGAAAGATACATAATCCGTTATTTCAAGAACACATTCATTCCATAATGGATATTATTAGATAGCTACAAATGCATGTAACATTGTGCTGCTATTATCCATAAATATTCTGGATGATGTTTTTAGATAAATATAGAAAACGCGATCGTAATTTTTTAATTTAAGAACCAAGTTCTAATAATATGATTTTTAGTTCGATGCAAAACGAAATTTAAAATACCATGTAAAATTTTATTTACTAAAAGTTTTTTGTTTTTTTTTTTTTACATATAATACTCTCTTAATTTATTATGATAATATATCGATCAAAAATATATTGCACGAAAGATGTAAACTGATCGAGTGACTTGCGGAGAGATGCCAATTTTACCATACACGTGATTGCACATTGTTGAGGTGAGCCGGAAGGCTTATCTGAGGTTCGATGACTGATCGATGAGTATCGATTAGCGTCGACGCTCTCACATCGTTTTTTTAGCGTCGATTTGAAATTTAAATTGATCCGAGGGTGGCGAGAGACGAGATGAAGCCAACATATGACGCACAATGACACATGTGTAGAATGCATACGAATAGGCGCGTTTGTTTCACGGTGCGCGTGCGTTGCGCCGGATCGATCAAACGTGTATATATCGATGCAAATATATATTATCGCGCAACGTTGGCTCGCTACATTTGAACGCGGCGGTAAAAATTTTAACTTGCCGCAAACTGAGTGCTCCAGCATTGTCGCGAATTTTTCTAATTACAAACAAGCAACGCGATATTATGTCAATGCCTTATCGCTGTGAAATGATAACGTGAATTTCATTTTATATGTATTCGTGCTCGGCTGATTGAGTATTCAGTGAACGAACATAATTTTATATACACGTGGTATATATATATGTAGGCACGTTATTAACAGATCAAATTATTGAAAATAGATGAAGAGATTCTTTCATATTTTCATATGTGAAGAAAATTTTAAAATGATAAAATTGCTGCATTTTCTTATAGCTAACTAATAAAAGCCATTGCTGTTTTCACATTTTTATTAGGAAGAAATCGCTTTCATCTAATTAATAAATCTCACTATATGGAGCACAGCATAACGTATTTCGCACTGACACGTACAGTTTAACGACAGATTTTATCTTTAATCACGTGTGGAAGAGAAATTTAACTTGCACTACGCGACATTTCTCTCTATTTCTCCCTCTCTCTTTCTCATTCGTAAACGTGCATTCACGTGTGCATCGGCAGCATATGCAGTGTGAGATAGGACTTCCGACGCGCTTTTCCGACTACGTGACGTCCGGACATCCGACATCTGCGACGTACTGCTGCCAACACGTTACCGTCAGAACGGATGGGACGGCTGACCGCGATATTATTATTGCGAGCGCGAGTCTAATGTCTATCAAGTTCCCCGAAATTCGGATAAGCGCGCACCCAAGCATTATTAACCGATCTCCGTAATCATGGCAGTTTCAAGGCAGTTCGATATCGAGCAACAAAATTACTTGCACGGTAAGAAAACACCTCACCGAAGATGAACGGTTCACTGAATCACGTTTATAAGCATACCGGCTGGTACGCATCTACTTAACAGTGTATAGCTTATAGATACTATCATAATTATACTATACGATATGAAGATGATTACTAAAAGATATTTATCTCACGCGGAGAGAAAATTAAATTTATTTAAAAATTGCTTGAAGATAAAAAATGTTGAAGCTTAATTAGTTCTTAAATTAATGGAAATGATGAATCATTTGCAAATTGAGCTTTGAAAAAAAGAAAATTAATAAATCGAATAATAAAACGATACTGTGTTTCAACTAATTTAATTTGGATCAATTTAATTTGAAATAACCGCGCACTTGCTTTTCGAGAGCGTAATTTGATATAATATCTCTTTCATGTAATAGGATAATATATAAAAATATTTCAATTGCAGAAGATTAATCAATATACCGGATTCGATGGCCGATGATTTCTGTGGCCATGTATCTAGTACTGCGCGGTATAATTCCGTGGCTTGCATCGAGCCAGATGAACGAAGTTATCGGGTAGGATGGTTATATGGGGGTTGAGGTGGGAATGTCCCGATATTTGTGGAAAGCTGGCAAAGTTTCCCTCGCAGTAGTAATATAGCGTCTGCGAAAATCGATATTTGATAATCACGAAATTCCAGGGCTTGTGGCGTCATCTTTTCTTGCGAATCTTACCGCAAGATATTAAAAGAGCCAAAAAGAGAGTAGAGTCGTCTATAAATTTAAAAGCTTGGTGCGGTTTAATACAAGACGCATGATTTAATATAATAGAAAGGGCAGATATTAGAGCTTCCTCTTTCCTTTGTCTCGTAAATATAACTGCATTTTCTTTTATATATACATACATCTTTCTCTCTCTTTTTAACGCGACAATTCATTATTTTTATTTTCATTCAAACTATAACTCGAGAGCTTCCTATTTTTTGTTTATTTTTTTTTTTTTTTTTTTTTTCGGCTATAAGTAATTTGTA